GCCTCCCTGTCCATCACTAACTCCCAGAGTTTACTCAAACTCATGTCGATCGAGTCAGTGATGGGTAGAATATTTAGGAAATCTCCTCTGCTGTTGCTGCTAAGTCACTTCAGTTGTGTCCGACTCTGTGCGACCCCATCCCTGGGATTCTCCAGGCAAGAACACTGGAGTGGGCTGCCATTTCCTTCTCCAATGCATGAAAGTGAAAAGTGAAAGGGAAGTTGCTCAGTCGTGTCCAACTCTTAGTGACCCCATGGACTGCAGCCTACCAGTCTCCTCTGTCCATGGGATTTTGCAGGCAAGAGCACTGGAGTGGGGTGCCATTGCCTTCTCCGAGGACTCCTCAGATGGGGTTGAATTGATTAGCAGGAGTGTTTTTCTAACTTTCTTTTCCCCTTCTTTCTGACTGAAACAGAGATGCAGTGGCTGGAGCACCAGCATCCCTCTTGGACTATGAGGATGCAGGCCAATGGACTAAGGGTGATGTATTAGAGAGAAGCCATCTGAATCCCTGTTAGCAGAGATGCTGTACCAGGACCAGACTGTCCAACTCCAGACTTCTTTAATTTGAGAAAATAAATCCCTAATTTATTTAAGCTACTGTTGTCAATAAAAAGAAGTCAGGCATATAGTTCCTAAATGGCACGGTCGTATTTCCATTTCATTCTAAGCTGTTTTGGAGGCTGAGGTATATGTCTTCTTCCTTCCCTCCTTCCTCCCTCTCCCTTTCTTTCCTTCCTTCTTTTCTTGTTTCTCCCAAATGATAAAAGCAGTATGCTCTCCTTATTTATCAGGAAGCCAATTTTATCAAGAACCAAATTCATTGCTCAACTGTGAGAGGCCCCTTGGGGCATCTATTTATCCACCTGAATTGGTTCTTTGGCTCTCCAGGGCTGGGCAATGGGAGGTGGAGTGAGAGGAAGAGACGACGTTTTGTCTCCCATAGAAGGCATCCAAGAAGACGAGTGGCTCATCTTATTCTGGAAAAAGAGTGGCTTTTCATTTCTGCCCTTAGTATTGGGTAGGGAGGTGTGAGGTCCACTCTGAATTTGTGGAAAAACTGAGACTAGCCCTTGAACTGGGATGTGGTGTGGATAGGCCTAGGGTCCAATCCAGTGACTGGAATTTAGCCCAGTGCCCTTAATCCTTGTTTTTGGTTGTCCTGACCTAGAAAAACAGGTTCCCACAGCATTTCAGACTGGCATATAACATTCTTCTCCAAAGGATGACTTCCTCAGCATTCTTTAAGACATGGCTCCACTGCTACTTCCTCCAGGGAAGTCCTCATCCGTTTCCCTGTGCCCTCGTCACATAGCTTCAGTTTATTATATTATAGAGTTTATAATATAATAATAGAGCTTATAATATAATAATATAATTATATATTATTATAGTTTATGTGACTCTCATCCTCATTAGTCTGGGAGCTCTGAGGAGGAAACGGGAACAAAAGTTCACACAATTATGTATCCTCCGTGTCTGCCTAAATTGTTCAGTAAATATTTGCAGAACAAAAGAAATCCCATTGATTCCTGTTTTTGTTTTTTTGTATTTCATCCAGTAGGTAATTTGAGGACCAGACCCCATAATGTCCTTCTTGTTCCTGGGAGATGTAATGTCATTACAGATGTGGAGTCTAATAAACGAGCTGAGCTTTATTCAGGAGGTGGTGAGATTTTATAATTGGAGATGGAGCAGGAAGGGGATCCAGGTTCTTTCTCATGAAGTCCTTGCTGACTGTGTTAACGCCACCTTCCTTAACGCCACCCTCCATTTTGCATTCTTTCCAATTACCGCACCGGACTCACTCACTCACCCATCTCTTGAGAGGAATGCCTGGGTTGACTCCTATCTCTACACTTGTGTGAACTTGACTTTCTTCACTTTGTTCAGCCTCAGTTTCCTCACCTCAAAGATAGGAATAATGTCAATATCAGTTACCACTTTTGAATGTGATTCTCAAACTTCACATGAATTGACATGTCTAATCCTCATAAAACCACTATAATGTTGGTACTATTATTAGCACTTCTGTTTCACAGATGGGCAAACTGGCACAGTGAGCATCAAATAACTTGCCCAAGATCCCAGAGTAAGGGAGTAGTGAGTTAGAGTCAGAACTCAGACAGTCCCTGCTCTTAACCATCACACCCATCTGTCCAGTATTTGCTACACTTTGAAACAAGATTTGCTTTGTAGGGTTGATAAGACATGGAAGGCACTGCAGTCACATGAGATGTTCACTTCTAGTTAGCCTGCCACCAGCTTCCCTGAACCAACAGGGGAATTCGTCTTCCCAACGAAGACTCCTTGCTATGGCAGTTAAACATTAAAAAATTTTTTCTAATTGAAGGATAATTGCTTTATAGAATTTTGTGGTTTTCTGTCGTATACCAATAAGAATAGGTACACCCATGTCCCCTCCCTCCCGGATCTCCCTCCCATCTCCCTCCCCACCCCACCCTTCAGCCCCTATTTGAGTTCCCTGAGCAAATTCCCACTGGCTACCTATTTTACATATGGTCTTGCAAATTTCTGTGTTACTCTCTCCATTCATCTCCCCTTCTCCCTACTCCCCTCCCCCATGTCCATAGGTTTGTTCTCTATGTCTGATTCTCCATTGCTGCCCTAAAAACAAATTCGCTATGGTGGTTTTGTGTCAGGAGGTTCTCTTTTGGGTGATTTCCAATGACTTCCACACTCCTGTCATGCTAGTGGAATGAGCCATTGTGAATTGTGGGCTCTAAGATGGAAGGAACCTGATTCTCTGGTATTTTGGAATTACCATGCACCCTGTACTGTTAGTGAGAGAGAAACATGCTTCACACACACACACAATAACGTCCATATACAACTCATTCTTCTTCTGGTCCCCAGAGGTTCAGCGCCCAGTTTCTGGGTGGTGGTAGCCCCCACTGACCTCTGTCCCCCTTCTCCATGCCCATGGGGGATGCTTGGAACCATGGATTATTGGTACCGTATTCTCAGTCATTTGATTTTCCTAAGTCATTTCCTAAGACGCTTGGGATAGAAAAACAGAGCTAAAATCTCAGGCTTTTGTAAGTCTTGTAAGTCAGACTCATTTTCAGGAGACTTCCATGATGTCTGACAGAGCAGACAAAGGGCAAAGTGGCCCCTGGAGGTTCAGCAATCCTTCCCAGCCACCCGTGGGTCCTATGGAGCTATCTGGCAAGTGTCCCAGAAGTCCAGTTCCATGGGACATTCCTGTCCATGTCACCAGACTCCCAACATCCATCCAGCCACTTACACATTCATCCCTCAAGCATTTGCTGTGTGCCTACTGCATATCAGCAAGATGCAGTCTTGACTCTCAGGGAGTTCAGGGTCTATGGTCAAGATAGCCATTTATACAAGTAATGATACTCTAGTGTGATAAAAGCTAGAACTGAGATGTATACAAACTACCAAGTGCAGAAGAGCAAGCAGATAATTCAGCTTGGTTGGGGAGGAAGGCTGCACAAATATCAAGCCAGAGACACTTGAGTGAAGTCTTATGGGAGCAGGGGTTTCCATTAGCCGGAGATGCCTGGGGGCAAGCAAGGCATGGATACAGAAAATGTCAAGAAAAGCCACAGTTCTGTAAGATTGGAGAAGAGGGTGAGGAGGGAGAAGAAGGTAATCCCAAAGCTGCCATTGGCATTGTCCCAAGCACCATGATGGAGGATTCAGACTTTATTCTGAGGCCATGGTACATACTCAAAGCAGGCCTGTGAACTCAAATGCCTTACATGATGATGAGGGGGTCCAGTTGGGGACTGAAAAATCGAGGAGTGCAGGTCCCATCCGAGGTGGCAGTCTTGAAGCACAGGCTTAGCTGGCCAAGTCTCCACATCACACTGAGTCAAGTAAGTTGGACAGAGAAAGACAAATATCATGTGATATTGCTTATATGTGGAATCTAAAAACTGGTACAGATGAACTTATTTACACAACAGAAATAGAGTCACAGATGTAGAAAATGATCTTATGGTTACTGGGGGAAACGACAGGGGGAGAGATAAATTGTGAGATTGGGATTGACATATATATTGACATATATACACTACTATATGTAAAATAAAGGACCTACTGTATAGTACAGGGGGCTCTATTCAAATACCCCGTAATGACCTATATGGGGAAAAAATCTAAAAAAGAGTGGGCATATATATATATATATATACACCCACATACATATATGATTCATTTTGCTGTAGAGTAGAAATGAACACAACACTGTAAATCAACTACACTCCAATAAAAAAATTTTTTTAAAGAAGCTGGAAATCCATATTTTATATGAACACTCCCAAGATCGTAATGTGGGAAATTATTTCCAAATGTCAAGCTGGCCAAGCAAAAACATGTCTGATGTCCCTTCAGCCTCTAGTTTCACTTCACTTCAGATGTAAAACTTATGCGGAGAGCTGACACCATCAGACTATGTTTCAGGAAGAGGATGCCCCCACAGGTCCCCCCAGCCTTTGTCAGCAAGACCCTCTTCTCCTTCTCCCACCCCCTTGCTTCTCCTCTCACTGCCCTCCCACACCATCCCCAGCACAGCCCCACCTTGCTGGGAGGAACTGGAAGAATGAGCCATGCCCCAGGCCTGACTCACACAGAAAGCCCAGCCATAAGGACACGAGAGAGCCGTATTTATTTCACATGGACAAGCATGATTCCATTGCATGCTGAACATGAAAGCTCGCGTGAGGAAGTACCCGTAACAGCAGAATTATGTGCTTTTGTCCACAGGGAGCAGGGAGGATCACAGGGTGTTTTTCAAAGACAGTTCCCCTTCAAGCAGAGTTGAAACCACAGGTTTTGAAATCACTGGTTTATTTCATCAGCAAAGGGTCTGTCTCCTAAGGGTGGCCAGGGGGAACACTTCCAGCTCCACAATCTCTGCACGAGCTGCTGAGGTCAGGAGGACGAGGCTGGTCCCCATCCATCACCCAGGGCGGCTCGANCCCCCCCACACACACACACACACACTGGTCTCTTGGCCTTTAGCTGGGCTTCCCCATTCCAAGAGGATGGAACGCAAGAGGGGAAGAGGGGCTGGAGCCTGGATTCGCTGAGGGGAGAGGGTCAGAGGCTTTCAGGGCAAACCTCATGGAAGAGACTAGCGGAAGAGCCCTGAATCTCCTTGGCTCATTCCCACCTGAAGTCCTGCCCAACAGTTTCATAAAATTTAATATTATATGGTCTATAAAATTCCCGGAGTTGGTCTATCACTTCAGGGTCGATCTGTACATGAGTTCTGCCTTTTGATTTGCCCAGGCATCGAGGCAGGAGGCTCGACTCTGTTTTTTTCAAGCAAGGGAATCCTTTGGTCTTGTTGAAATAGAAGTGCTTGTCCGTGATGAGCCTTTTGATGCCCAGGAAGTCCTGGACGCGCCCCATCTCGCCGGCCGGGTCGGTGATGAGCCGCTCACCGCTGACGAAGTGGATCTGAGCCAACGGGAAGTAACGCAGCCAGCTCTCCAGGTGCAGCGCGTACATGCCGATGCGGATGGCGTTCCAGGACACGTCCACCAGGCCCAGCGTGCGGTTGCGGAACGAGAGGCCCTCGAACGTAGGGATGTCAGGCTTCTTGGAGAGCGTCTGGGTGTAATCCGAGATGGCGCGGGTCACGGGGTTCCGTACGACCACGATCAGCTTGGTGTCTCGGGACATGTTGAAGATCCGGCGAGGGGCCTCTTGAGTGACAAAATAGCTGGGAGTCTTTTCCAGTGTGATCTGACTCTCGAGGGTCCGAGGCATGAGGCTCCTGTGGGGCAGAAATGCACATGATCAGCCAAGGCTATTCTGAGGGCCCCCGGGAGATCACTTCCCTCCACCCAGCTCCCCTGGGGAACCCCGCCTTCTCCTCTGTGACATTTGAGCCTCGCCTGTTCTCATCTGATGAAGCACCTGTTTTAACTCTTGTTGGCCCTTTTTTCAAAGTCTTTAACAGTTTAAGACAAGAACCAATCTAAATGTCCATCAGTATGGGTTAGATACATGATGGAATAGCCAATTAATACAGTTGGGTAGATCTGTGTGTACTGTTATGGAATGATTTCCAAGATTTAGTGCTTAAATGAAAAAAGGCAAGACACAGCTTGTTTATCTGGGGAAAGATACCAAGAAACCAATAAAAGTAATTGCTTCTGGGGAGGGGCTTTGAGTGGGAGCAGAGCAGGGAGGTCAGGGATAAATGAGAATTACTTTTTATTGTGTAATCTTTTACACTGCTTGAAATTTTTATTGTGTTTATTACATATTCAACAAAATACAAAGGAAGCCACTGAATATTGTTCTGGCATAAGATACCTCTCCAAATAAGAAAGTCTTTTGGGGAGAGGAAAGGCATGTTTTGCAGGAATAGCATGTGTTTTTGGAACTGAGTTCTGATGTCTTTTCCTGCTGAAATACATCTGAAATATATCCGTGGTAAAAGACTGAAGAAGCACAGAATTTCAGGTGCCGGGAGGGGCTCAATCGGAAGCCCAGTAATGCAACCTCTTGCTGCCTTCTTAATTTCCTGGTTCTGCTTAAGGTTTAAGGGAGGATGGCAGGACAAGCTGATGTCTCCTTCTCAAGGGTATCTCTTTCAGGTCCTTGTGAAAGGGAACACCTCTGGCTCCCAGTTGCTACTTCTTTCGGGAAGGTTGTGTTTTATCCTTAACTAGTTTTTCTTATATAGTGAAGAATAGAGGTCCCTGGCATGCTGCAGTTCATGGGGCTGCAAAGAGTCAGACACANAATTGCTTCTGGGGAGGGGCCTTGAGTGGGAGCAGAGCAGGGAGGTCAGGGATAAATGAGAATTACTTTTTATTGTGTAATCTTTTACACTGCTTGAAATTTTTATTGTGTTTATTACATATTCAACAAAATACAAAGGAAGCCACTGAATATTGTTCTGGCATAAGATACCTCTCCAAATAAGAAAGTCTTTTGGGGAGAGGAAAGGCATGTTTTGCAGGAATAGCATGTGTTTTTGGAACTGAGTTCTGATGTCTTTTCCTGCTGAAATACATCTGAAATATATCCGTGGTAAAAGACTGAAGAAGCACAGAATTTCAGGTGCCGGGAGGGGCTCAATCGGAAGCCCAGTAATGCAACCTCTTGCTGCCTTCTTAATTTCCTGGTTCTGCTTAAGGTTTAAGGGAGGATGGCAGGACAAGCTGATGTCTCCTTCTCAAGGGTATCTCTTTCAGGTCCTTGTGAAAGGGAACACCTCTGGCTCCCAGTTGCTACTTCTTTCGGGAAGGTTGTGTTTTATCCTTAACTAGTTTTTCTTATATAGTGAAGAATAGAGGTCCCTGGCATGCTGCAGTTCATGGGGCTGCAAAGAGTCGGACACATGACTTAGTGACTGAACAATGACAGCAAAGTTTTTCTTAATCCTGGCTGCACATTAGATCACCCAATTAAAGAAAAAAAGAAAAAAGGAAGGTGGTTCTTTTGAGGCGCTAGCCTGCCATCTTCTTGATCAGTTGGCCCCCGAATAAAGTCTCTTTCTTGCATCAGCCCCTCATCTTTCAGATTCATTGGCCTGTGGTGCAGTGAGCAGAGCAAGCTTGGACTCAGTATCAATTTGGTTTAGCCAGCCAGAAGACTTGCTGCTCGTGGCTAGCTGATCCTGATCAAGGAATATTGGGGCAAGACCCTAGCAGTGGCTGGGACCATTTGTCCTGAGGTTCTTTCCTTCAAGATTCCCTGCAGTGGCCTGGCTGCCCCCAGCACTTGGCAGCTGAGAAAAGGAACAGGCAAACTTCTACCAGTTGACAGACTCGGATTTTGTTTGTAGAGGTTCATTAACAACAAACCCAGCCCTGCTGAGATAGGTGTTCTGTAATCTCTTCAGAAACTTGATAGCTTCCAACTCAGTTCAAAACTGAGTAAGCATCCAGGCAGAGAAGAAGATGGCAGAGGAGCAGGTGGACGTGGAGTACATCTCTCTCCACAGGTACATCAGGAACACACCTTCAGACACAGAAGTACATGCAGAATACCCACTGAGAGCAGACAGGGGTACCTGGCCAGCAGAAAATAATAATATGGACCCCCAAAAAACTCAAGCTCAAGCCCTGAGCCTTTGGAGTGGGAGCACTGACTCCAAGACCCGAGACTAGGAGAGAACTAACCCTGGGGGTATCAGATAGTGAGGACTCACACAAAGGAAACCACTGGAATACAGGACCTGGCATCACCCAGCCACCATCCAAGACCCTAGACTAGGAGAGAACTAACCCTGGGGGGTATCAGATAGTGAGGACTCACACAAAGGAAACCACTGGAATACAGGACCTGGCATCACCCAGCCACCATCCAAGACCCTAGACTAGGAGAGAACTAACCCTGGGGG